GGGGGAGGGGAAGGGGGAGGTGCAAAAAAAAACTCTGAATCCGCTTTTGGCACTGTGCAACAGATTCCAGTAACAGAGCTTTTGTTAACAGATCACGAAAGAACCCTTTTTTCACTGACACCTTCATCATTTATTGCAGTCGCGCTTGTTTGTTCTCTTCATTTTTTTGTCATTTCCGTTTTAGGATGCAACTAATTGATACTTGGTTTATCGTCTAAAAAAGAATCACGCGCACTGTTATTTATATTTATAGCTTCTACGAAGAACCACGAAAAACTCCTGAGCTGGAAAAGGAGCGAACGGCAAGCCCGAAGGAGTGCGCAACGGTAGAGATTAGTCTTGGGAAACGAAAAATAAAAACACGTGGACGTGGGGCAAAACGATTCAAGGCTCTCGATGATTCGTTTTCGGGTAGTGGATCACTGGCCGCCGATCGTGAAGTTTATGAGTAAAAATTTATCATTCATCTACCTGTTTTTCTTAGTGCGCTGATGGGCTAAGCTCAAAGAGATCTAGGGACAGCATTCAGATCGTGTGTTATTACCTCTGCCCCGCTCTTTTTCTTTCTGTTTTCTTCGTTGTTACTCGAAATCATCCTTATTGCAGAATATCCAAGCGAAGCTCTCAAAGAACTGGTTCTGAAGAGTGGGAACGAGAGGAGGATGAAAGCGATTGGAGCGGCGATCGAGATCCGAGTCCAACGCCACAGCCGTGGGATGTGAAGGCCAATGTGTACTCACGTATCACAGCGCCAAAGAGTAGGGCCCGGAAGTGAATTTAGTGATCACTCTTCAAATGATAAAATTTTTGTTGCACGCATTAGTAAAATGTTCCGTACTGTTGTTGCTGTCGCTTTTTATCTCAGAATCAGTCAAAATCACCCCCCATATTCGCTCTCTCTGTGAGAGACGGCATCTCACGGAAGTAAGCAGGTGCCAATGGCAAATATCCGTTAGCAAGGGCGCCCATGGCTTCCTGATCCCAGAGTTGCTTACAGGAAGGCTGACAGCCGGCAGTGAATTACCACTAATCGTAGAGGGATTGGTTTCCTCAAGCACACATCTCACCTCTTCAATGAAGTTGTCATGCCGCGCCTGTTTCATTGGGCTGACGTGCAACTTTCGTTCTGAGGGGAGCACAGCGATGGCTGGTTGCTGTAGACTGAGCATGTACGGACGCTGCCGGTGTGATGCGCCTTCCGGCTTTTGAGCGGCGAGAGTGCGTGGTCGTGTCGCAGCTAGCCTTGCTTCCGTTCTTGCCTGAACCATTTCTTAGTCGTCTCTGTGCGCTTTGCTGGATGTTACTGATGAGGAGGCTGGAACTGACTTCAGTGTGTTCTCCATTGGCATGTGCTCCAAGATAGCGTTATTCAGCGAGGTGTCCTTTTTACACACTGACACTGCCAGAATGACCGGTATACAGTGGGCAGTGGGTCGAACGCGCCTGTTGGAATACAAAAATTAGTACCGGAGATGTGAAAAGTAGCCAGGAGCAGTTCTGGATGAACTCGGGACGGTGAAACAGGCCTCTTTGGGACGCCTCTCTCAAAATGAAGTGACCAGCGAGTTAGTGCCACTGAGGGCGGGGGGCAGTTATTCAAATAGTGTGCGGGTTGGGCAGAAGATTCCCTGCCGATACTGG